TCACAAGACAACTTCAATAAGATTTTCTTCTTCTGCAGCAGTAAATTCAGATGGAGCACTGACAATAAATGGATTTTTGAAAATATTTCTCAAACCAGGTGATAAGCTGTGATAAAATGTTTTTCAAAAATAGAATTCATACCTCAAGAGAAATCAATTCCATTGGAAGTCAAACAAGGGGAAACACTTTCCTCCATCTTCATTTATTTTTCTTTTCCATAGTTTTAATTTTTTTTATAAAAGCTGAAATTTTCTCAATCTACTTTAAAAGGTGCATGTTGCTTCCCTGCAGGGAGAGATTCAGAGTATTGAGCTTTTCAAAAATATCACATAAGTATGCTAGTTTTACCAAAACATTTTCAATCACAAAATTTTCAGCATACTTGTGGTCTTCCTCTTTAAGAAAAATATAAATTTCCTGTTGCAGTTCAAATGTATGAGACAAAACATTATCTCAAGAGAGCGATAGCTCTCTAGAAATAATGTTTTGTGTTTTCTTAAAGTGCTGTAGTACAAGATGTATGCTCGGATCCTACATCCTCACATAGTTTTTTGAAAAATCTTGCCTTCAATGGCCATTTTTATAAAGTTTACTACATGTACTACATATTTTGGTTCAATGCAGGACTCAGATATTTTGATGTGAGTGCTTTCCTGTGAATAATGCAATGGGGCCACAACAGGGTCTTTGCTTCAAAAAAGTGCTTGCAATCCTCCATAACATCCAGACATAGAACGAGCACTATCAGTAAAGATGTCAATGCATTTGGTCCACTCCAAATTATTTTCGGAAATAAAACTATCAAAGATATCAAACAAGTCGTGAGCCTTAGCACCAGCAGTGATACTTTTACAAAAGAGAAAGTCTTCTACAATGTTATTATTGCTATGTACAGTTTATAGATAAATTAAGTGAGCATCAATATTATTATCTGTGTCCTCATCCACTGCAACCCAAATTCCTTCCCTTTTTTTCAATAATTGAGCATTGGAGATCCTTCACTATGTGCTGTATTCTATGACTGATAGTGTTATTGGACAAAGGCACTTTTGAAAGCTGCTACCCAGCAGACCCACTGGTCATAATGTACACCATATCTACAACAGCCAGTAGAATAAGTTTTTCTGCATGGTAAGAGGCTTTTTACATTTTGCGATTCTATGTGCCACCTTTATTACTGAGTTAATGATTTGCATCAGGCAGGTCTGCTAGATATCGCATCTTATCACAGTGAATTGAAAGTGGAAGTAAAATTATGAAAATTTTATAATATTTCGCGGCTTCCTCACAGCGATGCCACGGCGCATACTTTGGAAACCGCTGCCTTAAATGAATTTAATCACAACACTTTTTACATCATTTATTACACAGTTAATACATAAAGTAGTTTTAATAATAAAAATGTGTATTATAGTTATATTTTAAATCTAAACAACTGCCAGATTGCATTGGGCTATATTAATCCAGCAATCATTTGGTTTTAATCTAAAATTAGGCTTGTAGATTTTTATATATATGGTTACATTTTAATATGAATAATTTGTTTCACATTGAAGTTAAACAATAGAAAGATAACACGTATTGCAAAATGATTTGTTTGTTATCATTTAAACTTTATTTTATGGATTATAGCATAAATACTTTATTAACTTACAGGTTCACCTCAGATATTGCAGAAGCTTGATTAATTGGGGCTCAGATAATAGTAGTTGGTGTTCGCATACAAGCATTTGACATATATTTTTAATCAGATTATGTATTATTTGCTATTAGATTACATTAGGTTAAATAATCTGTTTGTGCTAAAAACTTGCAACTCAATATGATGTGCTGTATAGTTTCATGTATGAGGTCTGTGTGGAATGTTTCCAAACTTTTTAAATCATGCACAAACCAATAATTGAATCTAAATGCAGCCTGTGCAGCTCTTTAGTGGCATGTTTTGTGTACTATCTGCTGAAAGCTGTTTGTTCTATCTTCATTTGTGTAAACACATGTTTGTATTTTGCAATTTTCTTTCAGTGAATGCAAGTGAATGAAGAGCTTCTGGGATGGTTAGATCTGATGAAATCATCATCACTGAGTCATGGGTCTATGGATACAAAACATCAGTCATTACAGTGGTTGGGAAAATCTTCACCATGACCCAAAAGGTGTGACAAGTTCAATCAAATGAGGTCTTGCTCACTTTTTTGTTCTGTCTGGAGGTGAAGAAATGTCTTCATAAAGCAGTGAGAAAAAAAAAGGCCAACTGCTTGGAGAGAACAGCATCATGACAATGCATCTACCCACACATTACTGCTGATAACAGTTTTTAGCCAAGAACTTCATGCCACTCGTTCCCCAATCTTCATATCCTCAGGACTAAGCGCCAGCTGACTTCTTTTTGTTTCCCAAAATAAAATCTGTTCTTAAAAGATCTGTGAGTCATTCTAAAGAAGCATCACTGCTTCTTTAGAATGATCACCACTTCCTGAAGCAGTGATGCTTCAGGAAGTGGTGCTTTCGTGGCAATTTCTGTCATGAAAGCACCACTTCCTGAATGCTGGATTTGTGGAATGAAATGCTTGATTCTATGCATAGGTAGTCTATGCACTGAAGGCAACAAAACAGACTAGCTTCTACAGTAGTTAAATACAAACAAGTAATATTTACAAAGTTTCAAACTTTCTGGACAGTGTTTGTATTAGGATGTGAAATTTCCTACTTCCTGAGTTTCTGGAACTCTACTATATAAACCAAAAGTGTTGTCTTAAACACAACACTTTTGGCTTACACAGTAGTGTCCCACTCAATAACTTGATGTTCCATAAAACTCATTGTGTCATTAAAAAAATTAATCTAACTTTTACTTCTTTAACTTAACACTAGTATCAAATAAGTATTGTTTTTCACTAGTAACACTTAATACAGAGGTTGCGGCTGATGTTTACATCACAAAAACATGTATGTTGGGTGTTCAGCACCACCTTCCTGAAAGCCTAGAAGTTTGACAATGACGTTTGGAATGTCAGTGGAATCATGCTCGACATTCCAAATGCCATTCTAGGGTTACAGGAAGGTGGCGCTGAATGTATGATGTACACATTTTCACAATAAAAATGTTGGCTGCAACCTCTCTAATAACAGCATCAATTTCATGTGTTAACAAAAAATATAATCCTTTTTCTAAGGTGCCAGTGCAAAATGCCATAATGCAAGATCATTAAAAGCTTAAAAGTAAGCAATGAATAGCCAATATTTTAAAATTAAAATTTAACTACAAATAGAAAGAGTCATTATTGGTGCATAATTAATACATATATGAATTTGCATATATACTTTTATGAAAATTCTGCTATTTAGAATTTCTTCATTGCTATGCTGTAAAACTCGTCTCCTTCTCAGTCATATTAAGTCAATTTTATTCTTAATCTATATCAATTAGACATATATACAGTACATGAGGGCTTATCACACCAGTGAACGAGAATTAAATTACAAAATATATAATGATTATCTACAATAAGGTATAGCTCTTTTTTTTTTTGTGATTTATAAGAACACTTTATGAACACTAACTGAATTTTTATGAACACTAACTGAAGAGGGACGTATTTAGTCCAAAATGCATTTTAAGTGTTCTGTATAATATTTTGTCAAAAAAAAGCTGTACCTTATTGTAGATAATCATTAAAGATTTTGTAATTTAATTCTCGTTCACTGGTGTGATAAGCCCTCGTGTATATATGTGTGTAATTGATATATACTAAGAATAAAACAACATTATGGGCTAAAAGAAATAGATTATTCAATTAAAATATTAAGTCAAGTTTTCAGAACTCTACTGTAATATTATTTTATATAGCAAATTATTCTGTTCTGAGATTTGCTTTCTCTTTAGATAGAATGGACCTCCTATAAAACTAAAACCTAAGTAGGTTTTACTGTATATGTTTTACTAAGTAGGTCTTACTACCATAACACTACTTATTTTAATTAGCAGAAATATTTGTTCAAATTTTCATTATTCTTTATTTATATTATTAACATTATAGATGTTAAAATTATAATTTTCAATTATTATTTTGTACCAAATAATGTTAGTATTCATATAAATAGTAGCTAAATAAATATTTCCATAAATGATTTGATAAAATTATAGAACTTTTCACATAATTATATAATTTTATCCAAAAAAAAAAAAAAAAAAAAAAAAAANATTTAACTACAGTCGACTCCCTTATAATGCGGTAGATGTTCCCCTTTATAAGAATTTTACGTTGTAGGAATCCTTAAATACACGAGCCAATCACAGCCTGACACTTGTGCAGTTTACGGACTATGGCTATTTGAAAGGTTTTCTTCCATAAAATTAATCAATTCTAGACTAATTTGACTCAACATTTCCAAAACACGTATAATTTTTTGGGAATAATCTGTATAAACTATGCTATAAACAAAAAATTGTAGGATTATTTACCGAGTGTGTACCGTTTGACGATGCCATTGCTTAATTAAGCTTGTTTTCATTGCAGAACAACACATCACACAGCAGGTGCATTTTCTGATAACTTATTTTTCTGCAAAAAATTTGCTGAACTTTGGAGACATCATTAATAGAAATAATTTTCATGGCCGTTGAATAAGAAATGTTTTTTTTTTCCACAAGAAATGTATAAAATTACAGTACTGTATTAGACTTACAGTACCTAATTTATATACTGTACAGACGATAGTAAACTCAACTTACCCGCCTAAACTCTCTGTAGCGTGTAAGTAGTTCGGCTGCTCGTCCACTATTGGTCCAGATTCGACCAATCCTATCACGACACGAGTCGGCGATGATGTTTTACCACATTTTATGAGTCTTTTTTAGCGTCTTTATACGAATACGGTCGCAATTTTTTTGCCGCGATATACGAATCTGTATTATATAAACTCGCGTTATGGGGGGGTCGACTGTATTTCATTTTATTCAGTGATGATAATTAAAAACTGATATAAAAAAAAGACTTACTTGACTGTCAGAATCATAGTTAGGATCATGAACATCATTGGCAACCATATCATCCATTGTCATTTCAATACCAATTTTTCCCCAAGTTCCTTTTCCTCCAGCACCACCTGATTAAAAAATAAATACAAAATTACAAATTTTTATAAAATTTTTCATTTAAGTTTATTTTATATAGTATGGATGCTGTATAATACAGATGTATGTAAAATCACTTTAAACTGTGTCGGTTGATTTTTCCACAGCAACACCAAGCTAGTATTCAAAACTTTATTGCAGCATAATTTTAAATGGATACATCAATATTTCATACATATACATCAATACATTATGTATAATCTGTATTGTTTAATCAGAATGTTTTTAAATATAAATGTCTTCATCTTCATATTCTATTTTGACTATAGTTCTTGGTATTCTCATGAGAAGACAGCAAAAATATCTAAATACTTTTTAAAATACAAATACTCTTAACATTTTTGCTATTTTATCATGAAAATGAAAATATTAAGAACAATATTCAAAGTAAATGCAAAGATGAAGATATTTAGATTTTTTAAAAATTTGATTAATAGCATTTGATAAACTATATATTCTGTTTTGGAAAATTTAAGTTGAAGATTTTCTTAGAAAAAAACGAAAACACTTCTGAATAAAAATAATATGGTTTTCCAAACTTAGTAGTAAAATTATTGTTATTAAAATAGTATCAAGTTCATTCAACATTTGTATTATTATTTCAAAGAAAATATATTTTAATCAATACTCTTAACTCTAAATTATAATAATTTAGAGTTATGTTTATGAAAAAAAAAAAAAAACACTATTTGTATTATTATTTTACTTGAAATATTACTACAAGTACTTTCGATAAATTTCAGATTCCATTTTTCTATACCTAAAGAAGACAATCTGAAATTTGTTGAAAGTACTTGTAGTAAAATTTCAAGTAAAATAATAACAATAATAGACAGTGTTAATATTTTTTCTTGAACTATTTGGCATCACACAAAGCAATTTCGAGCACTTTATTACCATTTCAGCTTTTATTATGAATATTTCTATAATTTTGAATAAAAGTAGCATAATGGAATTATTAAAACATATTTAAAAATACTTTGAGCAGGACTATTTTTAAATATTACAAAACAAAAGTCATTTTTAAACCATAAAAGTTAACAAATGCTTCTTTCATTTTGAAAACAAAACAGTATCATGAATGATTTCCTAAATAACAAAAGTAAATTCAATCATGATTTACTATTTGAAAAAGATCCTTTCCACAAGAATAAAAAAAATTCTTTATTTAAGAAATAGAATAGAAATGTAATTTTATGTAATTACAAACTGAAAAATGTGAAAAATTACCCTACTCAATACTTAATAGTCAAATTAATTAATATTACTTTAGAAAGCTCTCTCTCAGACTAATAAATATATCAATTTGCATTTATCTCTAAAGAAATTTACTCAGTATCATTAATAAAAGAAATAAAAAAAAAATGCTAAAGCTAGCATACAATTTACCTTAATATAACTACCATAATTTTATGTGGATAATCTGTGGTTTATGCATATTTAAAAAACAATTTGAAGTTAGATGTAGGTTATGCAATGAAACAGATTAAATGCCTATTTAAAATTGAAATTACAAATTCATATGATCAATACAAAACCTTCCTCACTTATTTCTAGCCATTTATACACGAGTACAAACGTTTTCAGCCTTCTTAATAGGCCTTCTTCGGGTACACTGTGATCTGTTAGAGCGTCGTTTGGTAGAAGTTTAAACGCTGCCAATGTTTACCTAGGCATAGTCTTACCAGTGACGTCATTGCTGATGATAGGTATAGATGATACCGAGGGCGAAAAATTCTTTCTTTTGGTAAAAAAGGGAGGTGTGCAGATAGTTCATGATGGGATACTCGCTAAAGTTAGGGAATAAATTGCAAAGTAAACGCTCTGTGTAAAGAAGATGCACTATCACGATAGGGGGTTAATGATCATCTTTACACAGCGCACTTACTTTGCAATTTATTCCCCAACTTTAGTGAGTATCCCATCATGAACTATCTGCACACCTCCCTTTTTTACCAAAAGAAAGAATTTTTCGCCCTCGGTATCGTCTATACCTATCATCAGCGATGACGTCACTGGTAAGACTATGCCTAGGTAAACATTGGCAGCGTTTAAACTTCTACCAAACGACGCTCTAACAGATCACAGTGTACCTGAAGAAGGCCTATTAAGAAGGCTGAAAACGTTCGTACTCGTGTATAAACGGCTAGAAATAAGTGAGGAAGGTTTTGTATTGATCATCTTAAAATAGTTCTAGCTACAAATGCATAGAAGTACAAATTCATAAAAACAACTTTTCCTTATCATCACATTCTAAATATACAATAAAAAAAATATTTCCTTGATCAGTAAAAATGAAATGAAAAATATTTATTTTAAATTATCTTGCAACATGCTTATGTTTGCCATAAATATATTTTAATTTATTAATCTGTAAGTTGTAGCAACTTTTTAATGGAAACTGTATTTGATTTTCGTTTATGCTATGATCAGTAATATAAAGGATATTAAGAAATAATTTAAAACAATTATAATTATGAAGCAAATTTTTGTCTCAACAATGTTACAACTCTATAAATTTAAAGACATCTAACAGATTTATTAGATTAATGTTTATAAGATATTTTTGGCTTCATTTTCAAATCTTCTTTGGAACATTAATTGGGCCCAGTTATGCAGAAAGCTATCAACTTTCAAATGTATAAAAACGAGTTGAAGTCGCACAAATTCAGTATTATGCAATCTTCAATTTACAGAAATACCAGATAGCTACTATTAACGTATTTAAAAAGCTCAGTAACTAATCTACAATCTATTTTTTATTTTGAAAATGAAAGCTTTAAATGGAATTTACTCAGTTTAAGTACATTAAGACTTGGTAGTATTTTTGCATAACTGGATTCAATTAGTGTTCCAGAAGAACAAAACAAACCTATCTAAACTAAATTTTATGTCTTTGATTATTTGATTACATATACAAAACAATGATTAAAAATATATATAAAAAAACTAATATAATTTTTATAAGTCAATAGAATTGTTTGGCTACTTTCTAAGATTAACAATATATAGTGATGTCAAATAACAGGAAGACAGATAAGAGTTTCCTTTAAGATAAAATAAAACTATCAAAATAAAATTATTTTTATTTCTCTTAATATCTTTCTTGATATTAAACAGATTTTTTTTAATGAATATCCTTGATGTATATTAATATAAAATAGAATATTAATAAATCTAGAAAATGGCATCAATTAAGTCAATGCCAAATAAACTGTGGAATTTTAAAGTGGGCTATAACAAAGCTAATTTAATGATTAAATATAAAGCAATAGATATAGATTGCAACCTAATAGCCTACTTACAGCAAAACTGCTTTATATCTAATCATTAAATTAGTCTTGTTATAGCTTGATTTATAATCCAGCAGTTCATTTGAACCTATTGCACTGATTTAATATCCAGCAGTTCATTGAAACCTATTGAATCAGGTTCATGTCTATGTATCAATAAGTTTATAATATAAAACAATCATGTTTACTCTAATATCTGCACTTAATATTGCTAATATTTATAATCAATTTTATGAGAAAACTTTAAATCTTACTAACAACATTAGAGAATAAAAGTTTCACTATTGAAAAAACAAAGTAAATTCAAATATTCTGCGTAATGAATAAAAATCTGTATTAAATACAAGCAGTCTTCAACTTCCATACATAATGTATTATTTCTAAAAATATATATAAAAGTCAAATGTGTGAAAGTTGAGCAATAAAGCTGCATATCAAAAAGTATTCAATAGTTCTGTTTCCAGAGAGCAAAACAAAAAAAAATTTTAAGAAAGCTTTTATTAAGGTAAAAAGTAAACATTTTTATTTTTTACAGCAAATATGTTAAAATAAATTATTTGAAATGTTAAAACCATAAATTAAAAAAAAAATCAATTTTAACAAATGATTTTGCTATTACTGAAACTAAAACTGGCAGAAAGCACCACTGCATCATAACTCAAAATGTTTATTTTGTCAAATGAAAATATAGATCCAAATTTGGCACATGACAAAAGTGATTCAGATGTATAAAAAGATCAGTTATCCAAAAGTTGGGCAGTTGTAGTTCAGTTACAGATTCTTACCATCCTAGTTTCCTACCAAAGGAAAAAATACAGTGAGAGAAATGTTCACTTTAACATTTATCCAGATGGAAAAAAAAAAAATTCTTTGCAGCATTGCATGAATAGCCTAAGTGCATAGTCTATGATGCATTAGTTCCATCACAAGGTTTATGATAAATAAATTAATTCAGTCAGAAAAGGGACCTGTTTACATTGCACAGTAGTTCCAACGCAGTACTTAATTTCTCCATCTCTCTCAAGCAGAAGGAAATTATTTTAAGATTTATCATAATGTGTAAAGAATCTTTAACTTAAAGAAGAAAACCAACTTTGTATAAAATAATATGAAAACTAATTGTTTTCATATTATTTTATACAAAGTTGGTTTTCTTCTTTTAAGTTGTTAAAAATGTCTTCATCCTGGTGCAGTTAGAAAGCACTTGTGGAATCTACATGTTGTTTCTTGTACATTTTCTCTTGTTTCTTCATAACATATAATCATTCCCATTAGTGTTTGTGAGTATAAGATATTGCCACAATGTCTACTAATTAGTAAACTGTGTGATGTTTGCTCTTTTTATAAGCATCATGGGTCACCACAAGATTTGTGAATATCACATTTTTAATTTTCATTTTGTTCTTATGCTTTAAAAATTTACATTTTGTTTCACAACTTCTTTGCAATTTACACATTTCTTTTTGAATGAATGAATTTATTTTAGTGTAAATATTGCAGAGAAATTAAGATCTTCTCTTTTCTATTGGTTTCATTTGAAATAGGATTTGAAAAATAGCAGAGCCATAAAGTATATCCTTTTTCTCTTCCACAGCATTTTTAACAGGTTTATCATCATCTTGCAGGCAAGATAAATGTCAGTTTAAAAATGGCATCTGTTATCATCCAATATAGAGGAA